ATCACCTCATGGTGATCTGGCCCATCCGTGCCTTCCAAGCTGATACTGACAACAGGAGCAAAGTTCTCAAACGCATATTTTCCACAACTTATATTCTACAATGGCTTTATTGTACTTTCTAAATTATACACAATTTCTACATCGATTATATCATTCATGGAATCGAGTGGCATGTGCCACTGTTGGATCTGTCCCAACCACTGCTAGGGTTGGTCCGCCTTTCTCTCAGCCCATGTTCCATTCCTCTTCAGATTGACAGTGCAGTACTGGAAACGAGCAGATCCTCATCGCAACTTTCCAAACACTGGTTATCCTCCAGCCTGGTCTTGGCCGCTAACACACGTACTGACCAACTGATACGTTAGCGAGGTCTGAATACAATCACAACATTGCTGTATCCTCATATGACGCCGAGTGGCTTTTCTGGGTCTAACTTCAGTTGGCTTGATTGGTGGTGTAGTCTAAGCTGCTCGCACGTTAGCACTCTGGGATGGGTAACACGGTTGCTATATGAAGTACGGTTAATGAATCTGGAAGCTGGGTGAAAGACACTCACAGTGTCTCGATATTTATACGGTTTCAAATAACTTCCATCGCCATTTTTACATCTGATAATACCACTCCCTTAAAAAGCACTTCCTTTAGTCGTTTGAATTCACTTTTATTTGGGTTGCAAACCATTTAATCCTTTTTACTGAGCTGCAAGACAAGATGGATGGTGGGAATTAATCGTTCTCTCAAACAACCCTCGGCTGTTTCATGCACCAATGCATACCGATCATTCATGTTTGTATAGACATTTACTGATCGGCGCGCTGATCCGGCCGGCTGACGTTCACTCATTTATTAAAATTGGCTTCTTATCTTTGGGTGATTTCTGACTCTGATGTACTGAACTTTGTTGGCAGACCAGACGTTTATTCCTAAACGAGATGTTTTACAATACCACTATACAAATCGACCATGTTGAGTCGTTTCATTTGAAGCGGAACATTTTACCTCGGTCTGACAGCAAGCAAAAAGAACACGCACCGACTTCTTTATTTTGACAAATGACGAAACAACGTGGAACTGTTCTTATGGTTCACCCTAATCAATCTCATTATGGAAATGCTGGGAAGAATGCTGTATTTCAACTTGAATAACTGTGTGAGGAAAGAAAGTTTAAAAATTCCTGAGTACGGAGGTATGAGTAGTAAGATAATTACAGGATCACAGACTATTCGTTAAAATCATGCTGGTAATCATGTGCTGTTGGGACAGCCACATGCGCGACCTAGATCGAACTTGTCAGGATTTCTTATTCTGATTTTGGGAACGCCCAGGAGATTTGTCACATTCTCTAGAGTTGCTTCACGTATCGTTTAGGAGCGTGGATGATAGCCTTCTACCGTAATGTAGGGTTTTATACTGAGATTGCAGCAACATCAAGCCGAAAATACATAAAAAAAACGAATCAACACCATGCATTTACGTGCTACATAAAAAAAAACGAATCAACACCATGACATTTACGTGCATTGGGCTAGAATGAGCCAAAGCAGTTTGGCTGCTTTTTCTAAAGTCACGATGACTTTGTAAATGGCGACCGCATGGTAATATTCCAATGGAGTTTTCCGAATAACAAATGGGCAGTTTCACTCTGGAACTTCTGCACAATTGTCGTATGCACAAAAATCCTCACTGCGATGCATAAAGCTTTATGCAAGTTGATAACATAAACGATAAGCCAATTTACGATTTACTGATAGTTTCAATATCATCCGGTAAAGTTAGCAACGTATGAATTTCAGTGATCATGTCGTCTTATTGCGGGACTCGCCTTCGTGGATCGGTTACAGAAAGTGAAACAAATTTCAAACTCATCTAATCATGCATATTCCAGTTGTCACGTGATTTAAAACAAGTAACTCGATGTTTCAGGTTCTCCCAATACCCAGTTAGTTTTTCTTGATGAGAATAAATGAAGACAGAAGAATAGACATCACGACCATGATTCATCACCAGCAAACTACCGGAAACTGGGTCCCTGTCTATCGATTTTTAACTGTGATCTCTATTAGCAGTCCTAACTGCAATGTTCGTTTTCAAACTTTTGTTAGTAGGCCGTCATAATTCGAGACGTAACAGGATAAGGTATCATTGAGGTGATAGCGCGTGTCACAGCGCCTTTCCCCTAGAACTGGCTCAAAAGGGGAATTATCAGTGGCGTTCAAGGATCTGTTTGATGATAAGATCAGCCATTCGTGTTGTGAACGGTATCGTAATTCTCAAAGCTCGGATGATAGGGCACGTGGCTGAGAAAGGAATAAGAGCTTGGATGGGAATGTGGTAAATAGGGTGGGGTGTGGCAGTTTGATGATCATTGCTCAGCGTGGGATTGTTCATTACTTGCTTGCAGATCAAGATGACAGACGGAAACGTGTATCGTGTCGTTGAATAGAATAATAGTCGGCGATGGAGAACCGTTGACTCCGACTTGAGCTTATCATGTTTGGAAGGACTTTGAATAGGGGGGTGAGTTTTGGATGGATAGTAGTCCTTCCAACTTCAAGCCGGAGAATCACGTCAAGAATGTATGTTGCAGTCAAAATAAGAACTCGTAACTGCTGAAACGATTGTGTGCGACCGACATATTTTAATAGAGGGTATGTGAAACACTATTAAAGCCACCCAGTTTTCTTTCTTTCCCCAACTCTCTTTCAAATTGGAAGATTCAGATATTCTACAATTCACTAAGCGTAGCTCATAAATGAATTTGTGGTCAATTTTGACTTCGGATGGGTCACGTGTGCTTACAGAGCAAAAAAGTTTATCCGAACTAAGTGTAAGCTTCACTGCGTTTCTGGATAAGCCTGAAAGTTTGTTACTGACCATAGAAGGATAACACTCTTGAATAAATCTCATTTTGCAAACGCTTGGCCCTCGAAATTCTGCTAACATTTGCAATTATTGTCTTGACTTCACCTATGCTTGAGCTGTATATAGGCCCCATGTGCTTCTGAATGAGCTTGTTTCAGTGTATGTACATATATATGTGTGTAGGACAGTCTGACAATCATATCATTGTGGGAAACCTACTGATATCTTCCGTCAAAAAGTGCATTCTGAAGCGGTGAACGATAGATTTTCCTACCTACTCTTCACCAAGTTGATCAGTATGTATTTTGATGTAGAAATCGCCCGTGATTTTTTCACCCGGTGTTTGTTTGCCATTGTTTGTTTGCCACACAAATGAAGAATAACTGGTTGTGACTTTGAGTGTTTTTCATTACCATTCTTTTCCAATGCTGCTCCGAAAGTGAATGAATCCAACGGGACTGTCCACGGTCCACACTATAAATGAACATCACTCTACTAGAGCACCGATCCCATACGTTACGCTGTTCGATTGAACTGAACATTCTATTTCATTAGCATTCAAATAAACCACGGGAAATTCGTGCCTCCCAAATGCGGAGGACGATAAAACATGTACGGCACATGTACGATCCTCGAATACAAACGGAGGGACCTGTTTCATACTCAAGCCACCTGGTAATCGGCCACCTATGGTCCTCACTAAATTGCACTGTACATTACCGTGCGGTGGTAATAAGTTGGTCCTCTTATTGTCATACGTAGGGCGATAGTTTGAAAGTTGCTTACCAAAATTTGTCGAAGCTTAGTTGAAAAGTACCCTAAGCCTGTTTCGGAAGCTCTGCAGGAGCACGTAGTCCCTCCAGCCACAGAAAACAAAGAGGTTTCGGTTGACTGAACTAAATTATTATATTGTCCACATCTAGAGTTTCACTGACCACTCAATGCTATCGTGATCGAGATGACTTTGCTTGTGGTTTTGAAGCATCACCAGTTGAATCTGTGAACATCCGAGCATATCGAATTCCGTTCGAGGGACGGACTCATATGAACAAGCTCAGTGACATGGTCGTATACTCTAAGCAGGCAGCATGACGCCTTAGCGCATGCTTGCACACATGATCTGAGTTGACCAAAGAAGCAGAAAGCTGTCACTTTGTCGCTGTGCGTTAGACATTTCAATGTTTCACGTTACAAACCAAGTGAAAACCTATGGCTTCAATAACACCTTGGTGGATGTGACACAGAAAATGCACTGACGATGTCACCGCGACTCGTGATGAAACGTCTGCAACCAAGTTGTTCAGTTCAGTGAACAAATTAAATAGGAATAGAAAGTTAAACCTGTTCAGCACCCCCTAAATACCGTCTTAGACGACCCACTACTTAGTGACTTAGAATGGAGGAAATGCGCAGGCGCGAACAAAGTTTCTGTTGACGGGATCAATAAGGTTTATTAACAAACCATGGCTGTGGGATGCGTTGTTTTTTCAATGCTGTCGTACAGTAGCAATTCTGTCGAGTAATTTTCCATATATTATAATGGAGAAGAGTTATGGGCGGAAAACTGCCTTCATTGAAAAAGTGATCCTTTACCAAGGTACTTACTATTTTAACTTGGTCGAATCCCGAATGAAGTACTCTGAAATCTCTCCAATGACTTAAACATATCGAAACCCAACATTTCAAACTGAGGGGTAGAATGACGCACAAATCGAAGTGATGATTTTTTTAACCCAGTGAACGATATCTTTATACCCAAATTGCCCTCGTTTGAACCACTCCTTTGTCAGCGCAAATAAGCTGGACATTACACATCATAAATGAGACGCTAGGCTCAACCCTCACTCCTATTAGCACTCCTTGGGGGTGTTTGACTTTGTCGGTCACGGGTCATGAACACCTACAAAAAACGACAACTTCGGTGACTACTGACATGAGGGAAATAATTTAGCAACAGCTGGGTTTCCTACTACGCCAATTGTCCTGAGTATCGGTCAGGCACTCCAACTGGTCCTGAATTTTCAGATAAAAAAGTAGGAGAAATATTGATCTATGAAAATCTGCTCCAAATTGAGATGATTTTTTTTACAAAACGAATCGATCCAACTGATGGGTACACAAAGGATGAGGTCAGGCTACTTGAAACAAATCAGTAGGCAAATGAATAAAAATTATTTCGTTGCCGTTTCCCAAAAATGATTTGAGAAATAGCGAAAATAACTAAGCCATCCCCGGTTGGAAATGCAACCTGTGATTTGAAAGAGCCTGGAGTATCGAAGCGCGAAGACTCAGCTTCTGTGCAGATGCTGAAGAGTCCCCAAGAGCAGCCGGTTCTTCGATAGATGGTTCGCTTTTCAGTGGTTGCTGGTCCTCAATTAATTTCTTGGCCACTTCAAACACAGAGACTCTCCTTCGTGTAAAGCAATGAGCACTTTCATTTATTGATCCATTCTCTTGGAATGTTTTCTTGGCTTTAGATCTTAAGGTGATGGGACTTGAGTGAACATTGTAATATTTGATGGACTTCTTTCGAGTGAAATCAACATGACGAGTCAAGGAGCAGGACCGTGTAGTTCCACAGGATAGTGCGACGGATGTAGGTCGTTCTATTGCTTTTGACATCGGCTTTTCTGCGAGCTCTCCTGCTTCTGTGACAGCTGACTTGGCTTTGTGGACCAGTACTGCAAGCGATTAAAGACAAAATTACTACGCCAGCACCTTAGACATTCCTCCTCACTAAATGGTCCAGAAGGTTCAGCAAAAATGACAACAAACACCCATTCTTTGGTGTTTATACTATTTTAATCTGTGTGACGTACGGTTGTATGGCTATCGTTGTGTACTTTTATGCGTGGGGACGACCGATGATGCAACAGTGAACTTAGCACATCAACGGGATCGGGACACGAAGATAGAATTCCCTGTTTGGCAACGATTACAGTATTGTTGAATCTCGTTTACTGTTTACTTACAGCAGAGAGATATGAAGATTCAAAACCTTGCACAGACATATCTCTGTGCTTTTCACCCCTAGAATGAATAGTTTGGGTTCCATACAGTGATTTTACATCCCCGATATGGGGGCATACTCCATCACACAAGCTGTTTCATTCTCAGCTAAGCTTATATGACTGTCTAGTTCTGTCCATAAAGTCAGCATATTACACCGTCAGTCAGCATAGTAAGCAAGGAAATGGAATTCATTCACCTCCAAAGATGAATGTTTTTCCGGCCATGGTAGTTCAGTGGAAGACATCTTGCGGTTCCCTTCGCACAACCTGGGTCCGAAGTCCAAAGTAAACAAGTTTCTTGGACGTGAATCCCGCGGCGTCCCTCGCTTATCAAGCTCAGTTTCCGGGGGGGGGGGTTCCATTCGTCAACCAGCCTACGTTGTTGGTCACCACAGAGGGATCGAACTCCCTGAGTGCCATCATCCGGTCTGGCTCACCTGCTAAAACGATGTACTGGGGTGCAGCCGCTGTCTCAGGAAAGTAGCTACATGGAGCTTAGTAGAACGGTTGAGGGCCAAGTGAGAAACAAAACTCAACAGCAGCAATGAGTAGGCAAGGCAAGCCTGTCAACCAGACCTACTACCTTTCTTATGATTCCCTTGCAACCAACCTATCAAAACAGTTAAGGTCAAGCGTTTTTCAGAATCAAATAAATATTCGCACTAGATTCAAATTTCTCATCAAAGGACAACTTCAGTTCGAGGTTTGTTGGTTTGTATTTATTTTCAGCTCAAAAGCTCCTCATTGGGAGAAAACGCACTCAAGAAAAACAGACGCTCAGAGGAGGCTACTTGGATGTTCTGGTGCTTCTAAAGCCACAAACTGCAGGGTCTGGTTACTTCTGATTTATGCAAAGACAGGTTAGTCTACGTACCGAATATCAGTCTAGTTAAAGTGAGGTTACAGTAATTTGATGTACATTCACTAGGAATTAGCTGTAGGATTACCGACGTCATGAAACCGATCTGGTATACTACGTGATGTTGATAATCCTCAATAGACTACCATTGATGCCAAATAAGTGTTCAGAATAAGAGAAGAAATCTGTGTGTTTCACTTACCGTTATGTGAGCCGGAACCTGGGCACTCGCCGTTAAAGCTGCCAGTCTTCTGGCTTTTGTGCAGATGATGAACTTCAACCATATGTTGATACTGTAAGAGGGGACAAGCTTTCAGTTTGTAGCTAGTTCAGTACAGGAAGTTTATCTAACCGGTCGAGGTTTTATTTATGACGGCACTCGTAATGGACAAGGCTGGATGACCAAGCATGAGGTATGAATCTAGAAAAAATATACAATGGCGAAATTCATAAGAATGCACTGAGGACTGGAAAACAAACACGACAAGCTTACGAGACCATCGATGATGTTGTGCCGTGGAAAGAGTTCGGAGGATTCTGTTTTTAGGAATTATCAGGGAATTTTTTTAACTAGTTATTTTTATTTCAGCGTCATAGACTTCAACAATTCAGTTTTTTGTCCCGGAGCTCTCATGCGGTTAGTATGCCAGCGCACCAACCAGCCTTCAATCGAGCTGCAGTTCAGTACTTCTGCGCAACACATGGAAGCTATCCATTGGGTAAAAGTTTTCGAAACTCCACAATTCTTTTCCGCAATATGCTGTCCTCCAGATTAGTTTCAGCTACGAGTAGTGGCAAACTAGTGAGTGTTCCATTGCTCGGCCATTTATTTTGAGGACGTCGGTAAGAAATTTGCCTAATCGACGCGGAACACAGAATATCAACATGGGAAATGTTGGATTTAAGCTAGGATGCCAGATTGAATTATACAAGCGCATAGTAAGCGAATCCTGAAGTGCGGGGAAAGGGGAAAACCAATAAAACTAATTGCAGCTTTATTCTACTTACCAGCAGTGATTAAAAACACCATAGGCACATCAGACATGAAATTAATACACCCCTGACAACTGTAAGGAAAATCAGTTTCTATTAAAAACACCAGCTTGTTGGGTATCCTCGATCTACATAATGATTGTGTTAACGATGATAAACAGTATTCAAAACACTAGGGTGTATGTACACCGAAACGGTCCTCGGTGTCAAAGGTTACCTCTGTCCAATAACGAAATGAAATGACTCAGCAAAGCATCGTAAAGAAGATGAACTGTCCGACTAATGGCCCTTAGCTCAGCTAAACATACAATCATAAAACTGGCAAACCGAACTTATGAATGTACAAGACTTCAGCTTAAGTCCTTTAGTCCTACGAAACGGTAAATTACAGGTGGTAGGCAGAATGCCAACATACTTTCAGTAAAACTAGCGGGGCGATTACCAGTGGCGAAATCGCCGTGGTACACCACCAGTTGTTTCTCACTGAGACAGCATTACAGAGCAGTTCCATATATGTGCCGCACATCTTTTTCTCACTTCCTTGTTTTCAGGTCATTTTTCAGGAAAACTCGATGTGTATCAGTGGATTTTTAACAGCACGCAGCTAGATGCGACAAACAGTCAGTTTAATCCATCTGCGCATGGTTATACCGGAAAAACATGGAATAACCCAAAGATTTTTCCTGCCAAATTTACTTAAGAAACACGAACAAGTTGAGATTTTTGTTCAACTAAAGAGTGTAGCCGATTCCTCCTGTCTGTGTTGATACTTATAGGAAGGGGTTAGTGTTTTTCACCACCTTGCAGTATTCTCCGCCTCCCAGTAAAAGCCGTACATTGTTTTTATTTGTTTTTATTCTGAGACAAAGCCTGTCTTTGGAAGGATACCAACAGCCATAGGAGCCAACAGTGATGGTGTGCCTGACATCCTGATAATAACAGCGATACACTGAAGCTGGTGCCTAATCTTTTGACTCTATTCCGTAATATATAGAGTGTAACAAGTAATCCCTTATAGCGGTTACTTTTGTTGATCACGGAGACCGCTGCTACGGTACCGGTTGGTAAACCTCTACTGGAAAGCCAGCGTTTCGGAAAAAGCGACTGCAACTGCAATAAAGACTCTCACATTGGTGATCTCATTAAATATTTTTCAAAGGCTTTTCAAGTTCTGATCATTGGTCTGTCTAAGAGTGTGTCAAATGTAGAGAATTGGATTAAACGTCCACTTGGTGATGACGGTGATGTGCCGGATAACCGTACGGGCCCAATATGTTAACTTTTAACGTGTGACTACTTCTGGGTCAGTGCAATCATTGTCACCAAATGTTAACCAATGAGCTGTAGGTTGTGCTATCCCCTACCGATGTGGTTTGGCTTGTTTACTTGGCGATGTATTTTTTACGGTGGTAAGTTGTAATGCCGTTTACAAGAAAGGTCTGCAGATGTATAGCTGTGGATGACAGACTTTCTTACATCCAAGGAGGTATCCTCACCTGCGCCGGAGTCATGACCAGACGAACGGATGGTTTTTGCGGTTTTCGGGATGATCCGACTCGTCCACTGGTCTTTTGTGCTGGGGAATGGACTCGATTTGCCAATGTCTTTCTACAAACCGATCGACACGGCTTTGTAATTTTACATTCACTAGCATGAATTGGACAGTTTTGATCAACGCCTGAAGTTGATTGCTTCGTATTGGCCTGACTGAAAGACCGACAGGCGGTGCAGTCATTTTCTGCCAGAAAAACACTAAAGGCAACGAAACATTAAAGTCAACCATTAGATACTAAGTGGTGCAGAGTGCAACTAGTCAAATTTATCTTAATGCATTTTTTTCAAGAAAACGGACACAGTAATAACGTTCAAGCCGCAGAGAAACCATCTCATTAATCCACATTCTGAGAACTCCGCGTTTCTACAGTAACACTGCATGCTCTCAGCAAGGCTGTGGAATTCCTTAACTGCAGTCATACAATGAAAGCTGTTCACTACTAGGTGGGTTGCATTGGTCGAACAGCATATTCAAATCACGCAAATAAAAATTTATGCTGTCGCGGAAGCCTAAATACACGCGAGAGTAACCCACACTACACGAAATTACTGCGTCATCAAACCGTCATAGTTCAAACCTCAAAACAATTATACACACAATAAACATTGGGAAAAGAAGGACAGCACACGTGAAGTCAAATCACGAAACTTTCAAACAAATATCGGAGCATTCATTGCAACAGAAATTTGCTATATTTTGTAGTGCAGACCGAACAGTTTGAGCTCAGGTCTAGATATAATTTCAGGTGAATTCCAACGAGGAGGATTCACGCATCCAAAACGACTCCAAAAGAAAGTCTTTTGTATGAAACTTCACGTTGTTTCTGAAAAAGATGTACAAAGAATCAAGACAACATCTAAAAACTGATTTTAAAACGTATACGGAGGATCAACTTCAGATGACTAAAATGTCGATCAATTTGAGCATTCTGTTTAATGGCTAGAAAATCTGAAAGGACGAAAATCATAAAGATGAACGGAACTCAACTCACCTTTCTGAGCCTTAGCACTGAGCGGGCGACTATAGAGAGTGAAGTTCTTCGCGCTTGTCCTGCGCTCTCAGAAAGACCTAAGTGTGGCTCCGACTGCTTCGATCTCATTGAATGGTCACGTTTTCTTATGAGTGTTTAAGTGCTTAAGGCTACCATCTATTGTGTTTCATATGTTTTACACAATTTGCGGTGGAAAAGAGTGTACGAGATGAGTTCAGCCTTGTTGATCTAACTCCTACGTTCAAAAATCAAAACTGTGCTTGACATCAAAACCAGCTTCAGGGGGAGTACAAAAAGACTGCAGCTGAGTCAGCAAACAAGATAATACAAAAAACTATCCATTAACTTATAAACAAGAGTGGAGGGCTGCATATCAGTGATTACAGCCCTGGCATGAGAACATGAAAGGCCCGTCGTCGAACCTCGATGAAGTTCTCATCAATACGTAAGAGCTTGCTACGGTTAGCTGTGAGAGTTGCTACCAAACACTTCGCCGTGGAAAATTTTCAAACAGAATCGTTGCCGCAACTGGGTATCGGGAGGTTACCGCGTTCCCAGTCTGCCCAGAGTGAACGAGAAATTATGACAACATTCCAGGACAATGAGAGGCAGGTAATGCAATAAGACCGCCTTAAAACCTCATATAATTCCCTGTCAAAGACTTTGTATGTTTTGGAACCTTAATGGGCAGACCAAACCATAGAAACAATCGGCACACTAGCAATTAATGAAAGGGATTTGCAAACCACTACAACAATAAGGGAACGAAGAAAAACAGCCTTATGGATAATCCTTATGGTTGTAGGCAGTGGTGTTGACTTTCGGTCTCCATGGTATTTGCCAGAACAGATTCATTTAATAATAGCCAGACCTCGTTTGTCTTTCCCTTCTCCTCACACCTGAGACCATGTTGTACTTTACTTATAAGAGTACTACCAGAAAACTTTAAAGGGATCGACTTGATGGTTAGGATCTGCACGATCGGTACGATCCAGCTGCAGGGGAATTTTTCAGTAAATAAAGTAATCTTTAATTCGGCGAGGACAACAGCACATCCATGAAGCAGCACAGATGGGATAAGAAGGGTACCACCAGCTCGCTCTGGATTTCACTTCACAAACTGCCCCTCGGCTGCATCGCGCTGGTAGCCATGCTGACATAACATCTGCTGTTTAAGCAAGCAGTCATGAGTTAGAATGCCGTATAGTGTATTTTTGTTTCTATCTTCATACCTCTTTGGACTAAAAAATAAAAAATTTGTATAACACCTGCCAATTGTTCACCCAAGGATAATTTGACATATAAATTGCCATCAAAGACAGGAATAAATGAACCTTTTTGTAATATTTGTCCGCAAGCTGAAGCAGGTAATTAGAAAATCCAGTGGCGCAGTCAGATTTTTTTGTGAATACCCAAGGATAATGTGCTTGTGCATTCAAAGTCCAATGGCCTGAGTCAACATCCGTCGGACTCCAATATTACCTCGAGTTATTTGGTTTGATTTTCTCGGGTGCCCCAACACGGGAGAACTTGGTTTGCCGGCCTAGCTGATAGTGAGGTAAGGAAGGTTGTCAAGACAGTCGTGAAATAGCCTCCTCTGAATAAATGAAACTCCCAAGTCCCTGAACATAAAAACTTTGAGTGGTCATGAAGATTCTTGAGACCACCCGTTTAGAATATCCGGAATGGTCCGCGAATTCGAGTGAGCTTCAAAGACAGTACATCCATAGCCCAGTTCTCAGTCAGTAATATATTTGTACTGTGTGGAATAATGGAAAATTATCATAAAGAAAAGAGGAACTATAAATAAGGGTCATCTATGGTAGCATTGTTACTTATCGCAATTACCGAGCTATTGAATCAACTGATCTCACCATCGAAGGTGATTTCCTGTTTTTTTTATTTCGACGCACTCAGCAAAATGCCAGAAGACTTCAAGAGTATTGATCTACAAGCACTAAATTACAGCATTTTTGTGAATATCAGCAATGAAATTATTTTTCTCCGAGAACCAGAAACTTTTCCATTAGTGAGATGTTGACTTAAGCAGCAGAACTGAGTTACTTCTGACGCGAAAGGTCAGACATTTAACCTCGAGGAACACCATCTGAAGCTGTTAAAACATTGTTTTAACCGGCTTCGTAATATAAACCTAAGAAATACGATGCAACGAAAATAGTAAGGCATCCTCTGCAGTGGGGAAAATGGTTAGATTAGCCCATCTAAAGTTACTCACAGCAGCTAAATAACCAAGTGAGCTGACCAGACATCTGCTTAACCTGCGCGCATTCGAGGATTCGTATTGGCAAAAGCATGTATAGAAATTATGTCCGTTCGGGAGCGTTGGTCTTTTTTAATTTTCACTTTTTCCCGGAGAACTTAAATCTTTCCACTGAATCATGGCAACAGTGTCTGCCTCGTACAAACTGAAAAGTTGAGAAAAAGAGAGACACGTTGGCCTTAACTGATCCAACCTTAAAAATTTATCAATTATGTACAATTCCCTCCCTTGACTATTAAACGAGAATAGATCAGTGATGCCATTTGTCCATTACTGTTGACTAATTCTTAGACAGGCGGTCATTGAGCTGACATTCTCACACTTGGACCTAATGTAAGAAAGTGGCGCATTGTCTTTCAGTTTCAAATAATTCTTCACCTCTATCTTTGCTGTGATCGCAGCCTACATAATCACCACTCTTTTCTCCGCTAGGCGAATTGAGAACGTTTGACGTAGAATCATGGAGACTGTAGGTAATCGTTGGCGTTGGTCGTTGTTCTAGTATGGACGAGTGGCGGCCATCAGTGAGCCCAGAATCCTTGCGATGGCTCGACGCTCATTTGTGCGCGTAATGCAGCTTGGTGGCAAGGTTAGTGGACAAAAGCCCGACTTTTAACTGTAACGGTGGTGTGTGGAAAACAGTTTACTGTTCAGCTTCTGGGATTTGTGTCTGTCCAGAGTTGGGTTTTGCCATAAGGCCTCTCTAACTTACCCTGTTTTCTGTCACACACGAGCCCAAGGTTCATCAAGAAGTTTCTCAGTATCACTCGACTACCTACCGCTAACTCGGTTCTTTCTTTGGTTGACACGCCACCAGTCTGTTCCCCTATTCAGAACTGAGGGCATGCAAAATCCTCGAAACACTACTTCCGAGGGGATCCTGTAGCACTATCAACAAGCAGTGACATCAGCACACCTAAAAAAGAACGCAGACGTGAGTGGATGCAATACAATGGAACAGCAACCACCGGAAATCATTTAACTATCGAGGCACAGTAAATGCAGGGGAGGAAGAGTGGCAAAAAGGACTGTTCAGAAGAATGATATTTCCTTAGCAGATATAAAGGATCAATAAAGAGGTATTGAGGATTGGTGGCTGTCGGTGCCAGTTTGCATACAAGACACAAAATATATGAATTTCAAATTTCTTCAAAGAAACCGAAATTTTGAATGGATTGCTGGCAATCAGTGATTCAGATCCAGCAAATTTTACGAAAATACCATCAACTGACTGGCCCGCACGTCTAGCAATTCATCTTTGCAACAAAATGATTCCAACATTGATTATAGATTACATCCTCCGGCACCAAGTTTTTCACAACAAATACGTATGCAGCGTGGCAGAAACAAAACGTTGACCAAAGTGAAAAATTATTTCTTCTAGGGTAACACGATGCGCTAGATTTAAAACTGCCTTGGCACATTGTAAAATCAAGTATAGTGTACATTCCAATTGCAAGGTTTTCAGTCTGCTTGAGAAATGCTGCATTAGTTCGAACCGTACCTTCCATTTGTGCCAGTATTCTACTGAAATCAGTTACTTATCTGCAAGAACGATTCCTGAATTTGTACAACTTACAAACGTACATCACTCCACACCGGAATTCGAAAGTTAAGTGGAAAAAGGTGTCTCACGTGGCGTCGCAAAAATTCCAGCAAAAAGTGAACAGGGGGTAAGAAAGTAGACATTACTCGAAATTCTATTTTAGTCCTGGTTTGCCTCCACCGTTACGAATACGGAAAATATCCATCTGAGAAAACTACAACGATAACAAATGCCGTCTTATGGCACACAAAATACTACATACAAGTGGAAAATAATCAACGAGCAAAATAGTGATGCCGTGATGCGAAACTCTTCTGATACGTTTGCGTGAATAACGAGAATCCGAGTAAGACTTTTGAATACCCGTTTTCTATGCTAACTTAGTCGTTAGGTTCAATAATATATGTATATCTATAGTATATATCTAATTCATATACATTTTCATCAGTTAGTAAATTCAAGTTTGAGAATGTCAAGTTAGTTTGTCTGGATGTGGACAGACAAAATTCGGCAATGTGACAAACTGGTGCTTTTTACGGGTAATACTTCTGACGTACGTGGATGAATTTATATATACATATGTAATATGATGTAGTAGTATATACATAGTATACATATATAGTATATATATAGTAGTATGTATATATATGATATACATAATGCTTTAGGATTCCAAAGTTTGAAAGGTGAAGGTATTTTTTGCTGCCCTTCTCAGCAATTTCCAAAGTTTAGGGGAAAATTGTAGAAGCTGTGTTTGGAAAGAGGGCTGGAATATAACTCCATCCATCCAGGGACGTATAGCAACAGACTCATCTTGAACGTCAAGTAATCACTGACGCACGTTGCATTGCATATCATAACAGAAGTACTTACCTGGTGCATTTGTCCCAAGCCTTTTCGTTCTAAAAGCAAATTTTAATGCGAGGGTAAAGCAAAGTACTCAAGTGAACCTGTTCGTGAACGAAAAGAAATTCAAACGAGAATCAACCTACCTGACAGTGTGCGCATCGGTTTACTTTTGCTGAGGATAGGATATTGAGAACCACTTGAGGTCGAAAAGTAGATGCTAATGATTTCGACCCAGGACGACTACGGGGTTTGTCACGGGATCCCTGAGGAAGACAAACAGAAATAGTGCCATTGTCTAAAACGTCATAGCTCAACACAGCGTGCTGGTCCGTTGCATTTGACTGCGCCGGCTGCGTTGGCTTTGCACTAGAAAGCCCTGTCGGACTTGCTATCTGAAACGCCTGTTGGAGGTGCCCTTTGGACGGCATTCGGTGCATTTCTGTAGGCAGATGGATGTGTAGTACTCTCGTTCCATTATGTGTTTTTTCGCTGGAATGACTTTTGGGTTGCTCTTGCTCTAAGTGTACCTCAGCGCCTTCCTTTTTGACACCTGTTCCTCCAGACTGAGCAGGCTGTATTTTAGCTAAGTTCGCGTTTGTTAGGTCAGATGCAGTCACTGTTAGTTCTGGAGTAACAAGATCGTGGACAGAAGGGCTTCTATGTTCTGCAGAAAGTTGAGGGGTTGTGAGTGTGGCAGTGATATCAGCCGACGTTTCAATAATCTGAGGGCTTTCAGATCTGGATCGTTGCTTCGTGATGACAGCTTCAATAATGTGCAATGCAGGAGTTAGGTCCGTCTTGTATTGGGCCAGATCAGTTGGCGGAGAAATGTGGGATGTACTGATCGACGGCAAGTTTGCTGTATCTTCATTACTGTCCACTGGTGGGATAAGCGATTCCGACATTCGTTTTGTGCCACCGTTTGCTTGATCGACATTGCTCACAATGGAATCAGTTGTCTCGAGATCAATCGCAATCCCCCCAGTTGAAGATGAACCACCTTGTCCCACGAGAACTGAGTACTCCTCTCTGAAGTGCAAGTTTCCATTGTCATAAATTTCTTCAGACTGTTTACCTAGAGGTGCTTGTCCCAATGTTCCGTCAAACACTGATGTAAAAACGTCTTCGCTTGGTTTTCTGTACGAGCACCGAAAAACCGGATTATTCCGCTCGGATGGGATGAACAACGAATCAGATGAGGGAGGATAGCTAGTCTGGTTTTCAATTTCTGCGTTAGAAAGCGGCCTAGTAATGTCGAAGCTTCTTTCTACAGATACGTCGTTTTCTGCGGCACCGGGCGGGTCAACAAACTGGAACTTTGTATTTCCATCTGGTAATGCGGTTGAGTACGAATTTGGCTGCAAACTGAAGTCCATATTAGGAAGTTTAGTGGTGACTTGATCCGACAGCCTGCTGAAATCCTTCAAGCACTTGGAGTCTACTTGTTGGATTGTACTTCCAAAATTGTTTATCAAGCTTAAGGGTCTGGAATCTGCAAAAAATGGCAGTTCTTCTGGTGAAAGTGTGCTGAATGCATGCATCTGCAAAGTCGTTCCATCCGAAGTGACCTTGCGAGATGGGTCCACGTTCTTTATCGAGCTCTGTTGAATGTCTACTGAGTTTCCCGAGTCCACTATCGGTTGCGAAGCACGGAAGCTTTTGCGCACCGCGGACAATGAAGTCCTCGGTGTAAGTGTTGTCCTTAAACTGGTTCTCACTTGTGACCCTGAAGGCAACAGTGCACTACTTGGCGGTAATCCTGAATACTTCCGTCGTTGACTGAGTCGGATTCTTGAGCCAACCGTGTCCGCAGGTGTGGTGCTAGGATCAGGAAACGGCTTTGAATCCAAGAGATCATTGGAACTACCGGCAACATACTGGGGCCTGTGTTCGGTGACTTTTGTGTGCACTGGGCTCTTGTCACTTAAACGATCATTATAGTCGGAATAAGGTATACCCGACTCATTTTCTGCGACCGTCGACACTGACTGGTCAGAATACGTGTAATCTAACACTGCCTTGAAAGTGTTCCCAACCTCTTCTGGTAATGTGGGCGCGCCAGGCATTGCAGTCACCTTGGAACTAAAAGCACATGTAGGCTTCAATATCGTATTTTTATGGGGCGAAGGAGATGATTTATCTTCTAAAATCCGTTTAGGGTAAGTCATCGATTTGGGTGGTATACATGAGCCAATTCGCATAACGTCACAAGAAGAGTCTGTGGCCGATTCCAATGATGGAATATTCGTAGGTAGAGAGGTGTAGTCCAGTTTGTTGTGAGGGTGGTCGAGGTCTGGCCGTAGCCGTGTTAGTGTAACTGGTGATGATAATGATGACTGTGGTGAGAAGACGGGTTTCGGCGAGGAACTGACAGTCGATTCGTGGGTCGAAAAACAAGTGTTTGTTGAACCAGAGCTATTCGGTTCTCCCTGGGGAATTGGGGTGATTAGTGTATTTGTTGTGGAAGACACGACCTCTACCCTTCCTTTAAATTGACAAGAAGACGGGGGTATGTGTTCCCGTCCAACGGATGTTCGTCTCTGTCTAGTCCATTCGTCCTTGGCCAACATCGATGGGAGCGCAACTGTGGTGGCTAATTTTGCTTGTGGCGGTCTTGCAGTTGTCACCCTGTAGAGTAGAGGGGGTGAAACGCAACCCGGCATTGATCCTTGGCCAACATCGATGGGAGCGCAACTATGGTGGCTAATTTTGCTTGTGGCGATCTTGCAGTTCTCACCCTGTAGAGTATAGGGGGTGAAACGCAACCCGGCGTTGCCCTGGTAGGCTCACAGACATCAAACAGGTCAGACGCTTGCTCTTCTTCTATGTGCCTCTGCACATACTTTACATCGATGTGAGGCCCATAATCCCCTAGTACGTAGTTTCTCGCCTCTTTCTGTGCCGCATAGTGATTACATCCATGCCCATCACGAACAGCGTGTTTCTGTTCAGCTTTGAAATCCACTGAGATTTCTCCATTGGTGTTGATCCACAGAGACTCAGGGTAATCACAGTGACGAACAGGTGGGTTATTCCATGGGCACATTGTATCCTTGAAAGGGTAAAAGAGGTGCCACATCTCATGCATGAGACAGGTTAGTTTGGGTACCTCACTTTGTCGATGCACGTTACAACAGCAGTCTCCTTCCATCATCTCTTTGTTGTGTTCGTTTATCTTAGCTCTACAGTGGCTGGAGATAAATTCTGTCTCCGGTGGGGTAGTGTGTAGATTTTCTGCAATAGCCACTTCTGAAAGTTCCACCGCTGGTTCTGTAGACTGTTCTGGATGGGGGGCACCTCCCGCGGACACGCGATGCCGTGCATCCGGATTTACAGTTGCAGACGTTTCGCATTCACAAAATAGGGATTTTTTAGCTGGTTTGATATTGGCAATCGTGTTTTTCTTGCTAGTCCAGTTCCATTTCGGTTCATCTTGGAGTGCAAAAGTAACTCTCGGTCTTTGTGTTGGAGGCGTGAGAAAAGGTTCACATGGAAAAATTGTACGGCTCTGAAATAAACAGCAAAAGCGATACACCATAAGAAATATTCCGACACACTGACCAGTTTGCATATAAATATAAGACAACAGATTGAACGGACACTGTCTAACATAGCGCCTGCATTCTATGCATTAAAGCTTCACTCAAGTGGTGTACACAGTCACTACGGTTGCTTCAGGGGACCAAGCACTGTGAAGGCAGGACCTGTTTGTAAATTAATGCTATTCCTCAAGTGATATTTGCTTCCTTCCTTAAATCCAATACAATATGGGAAACTAGATGATTCGGATACAAATGTGCCCTGCAATTCACCATCAGAAAGACCGGAAGTCATTAGGTCAACATTATAGATAATCGATGGGAGTGACCAATGACAGCCACTTTACGCGGGTGGGCTCGAAACTAGACGCACCGAAGATGCACTTTTACCGCACATTATGTCGATTTTCACGTTCGATTTGGCTAACATCTCAGTTTTGCAAACCCCAAAATGCATTTTGTACTTTTAACTAATTTTTGATTATGCCACTGAATGTTATATACGGGTCGGTGGGTTAACCACTTTTTATATCAAAACAGCAATCAGTCACTATCCTGATAAGTCTAAAAACTACATGATAAGCCACAAGTGATAGTAAATTAGAAAGGAACGGCCAAACCTACAGAATACCTAGTTTTCTTTTCTGAAGAGGCCAGTCACAAAGAAAATCATTAGTCCGAATTCGCAAAACTAGTGTGGTCCATTGAAGCAGTTTTCAACGCTTGTGACCTTTCAAGACCAGACCGCTCCTTGAAAGAAATCACTTGTGGGCTTCTTCAAGCGGTGTCTCCAGACAGTGGCAGTCGTATGGCTCCAAATTGTTTATCGAATAAAATTTGAACCCATGATTATTCTCCCATTCGGGCTTACTTCGTCCATGTACTTTTGACCTCCACTTGTTTTGCTCATTTGTACCCGCCATTCACCGTGCCAAAAAAGCCTCTCCGTCCGATAATGTCGTAGTGGCATGTGTGTAGATGACATAATTACCCAAAACTTGCACCTCCAAAACATTCCACATGAACAAGACACTGCGAAGTCTACTACCTCGCCCAATGGATCCAAATGAGCTTAAGGGTCAAAGAAAGTGACACTGACTGAGCAACTGAGTTGACATTGGACAAAATCTTAGATGGTTTAATTGCCTGGACATAAAGAGACGTCGTCTGTAAAATCCCATACATTAGCGCAGAACCAACTTTGAAGCCATGAAAAACTTACGACAAAAGTGTGTGCATATCGAAATCATCTCCGTATATGTGTGACTTTTTCCTGTATCAATAGGCCCACCAAACAAAAGCGGGCCTGCTTGTGACCTGAAGCCTGACTCCATACCCAAGAGCGGACATTCGTTCCTTACTGGCACACGTTCCCAAACGTCGCAAAGTATGCGCTGTGAAACTATCCCCAATTCATACACACTGGCACCGCACCTTATAACAACTTATCTGACACCGTAATGCTACAGTGACCGTTGCACGCCTTTGAGATTGGACACGAGGCTTACATGCTCAGAGCTAACGTGTGGGTGTGCACAGGTATTGGGCTCAGAGATCCAAAAAGTTGTTCATGGTCTAGCGCTCTGGTCAGCAGAAAACAGCAGCAGGGAAACAATGTAACAATACAGGTTACACAGCGTCACCCGTCATACCGTTGCCTACGTGAGGACTGGTCTGTCATTGATTCATCGGGCCTGTCAATCAGAGTTGAAAATATGTTTTCCTCACTCAAGGCCAAAAGTCCCCTACTGTGAAGGACAAGGCTTGAGTAACCGGGATCGAAAAAATGGATCCAATGAACTGGCATAAACCAAAACGGAGGGTATTTTCCATATAATATGTCCAGAAGAATACCCATCATAGTGTAATTACTACTTTATGCATACTGAAAAGTTAGGAAAATATATGTCCCGATACTGAATCGCCGATCTTTGCGTCTTATTCAGAAAGCAAGTCTATAACAATGGTCCATGTGATTCCATGTGATTCTCAAATTTGGTCGAGTTTGGTCGTTCAGAATAACCAGTGAACAGTGCTTTCCTGGAGTGGCTGCATTGGCTAACATACTTTGCAAATGCCATGCGGTTTAAGGATAAAAAACAAAACCTTAGGATTTATGTGTTTTGTAAAGAAACTACCAGCAATCTCTTGAGTGTCGTGCTAAATGAGAGACTTGGCTACAGTTATCATTTGATTACTTTGTTTATGGGCATGACATTCGCTAATTTCGTGCAATCTGGTTTCAAGTAGAACATAAGGTTGACGGAAATCCGGGGACTGCACTTACTTGATGAGCCCTAAAAAGGGCGAAACCGGTCGTGGGCTGTCGACAGATTTTCAGCAACCTTATGAGTAGTACATTACAAAAAAACAAATCAGGCCTTCACTCATTCAAGGCAGTCAGAAAAGGGGGAAATTACTGAAAACCACCCCATCTTCCTAAACGGGATAAATTTCATTGGAAGAAATACATTAGCACTACGCGAAGCGTCTTTCTTATGGAAAGGGACCACTGTCTCTTCAGTTAAAAATTTAGTTAGTCATGTAGTTTGGGTTTTCATTTGATAAATTGGGATGAAAAATGGCCGATACGGTTACTGAGAATACTCTTTTGTGCCATTTTACCTGAAGCACACAGTCGCAGATGTTCGGGGTGATTTCGAAGATAGACGTCAGACTACTGATTTTCACCCGTGGTGATGGGCCCTGAAAAAAGTGGAATCAAGCATGAGTTAGATCCTGCCAACATCATATCAACCAAGACCGTATTTCATAAAACTGGAATGAAGTTGACTTAATCCTAATACACGTATGAGCATTAGACTGACAATTTTCAAATGGAATACCGCAGTACACTGAGTTTAACGGAAACTACAGCACATGATTAGTGAATCCTGGTGTTCGACATGACAACCCTAAGTACCAAAGTAGACCCGACATACCAAGGAACTAGGATAGGTTGCCGTTACCAAGAATTCAACAGCTAGTAATGTGTTGGAATACCGGTAGTCCGGGTTCAGTCGCTGGTCGGATGTTTGCCAACCCTTCCGCCGAATAAGTCAGTTGCCAAGTGTGTCGAGGCAAAAACTGCACGCCTTAATTTGGGATGCATGATAATATATCTATTTGGATGATCAGGCTTTTCATGTATTATATTGTGTATATCATACTATGTATATATACGTTGTTATGGCCAATAAAATATCAAGAGAAATGCGTTAAGAGTCCCAACAGTGATCAAGTGTATCAACTGCAACGCACCCTGGTGAGTTTTTGATCGGTGATGTGGGTATACTCATAAGTGAGCTGATGATCGTGTTACGTTTGATGCACAAGATTAACTGTACTCCTGGGTCCATAGTCAGAGAAAGCAACGGTATTCGAGATCCGTACTGTATGACTCATTTCTCTGCCCTCTGTTGTTTTTTTCAGTCTACCGAGAAGATTATAACTTAACTCTGAAGTTTGTCAAAAACTAAACACACCGTCCAACTGCAGTTACGATAGTATACACACAATTCGGCCAGATTTCTCGACGTAACCTGGGTATTAGTCAGGCAATTGAACTAATCGAGAAGATTCCTGTCAACCTTTGTGGTCGGGCAGGAAACTAAGTCACACTTATCCTCGCTCACTTCTCCTGTTTTTCAGTTAATGCTGATGGCTCTTGTAAAACTGGGGATAAAAACTAGAAATCCACACCTCTCTGATGAGCCCTAAGAAAAGTAAACCCGACGGAGGTTGATTTTAACTATGTAAACAGCCCTGAGTCAAGAAAATTTATCTACTTGTTTCTGTTCTTTTCGTGATAAACCCTGAGCGAATATGTCAACCGGTCCACCCCGCCACCACTTCAATCAGCTGCGATAACAGGCAACTACGTATTGCTCGGATATAGTGGCTAACTGTATCGACTTCCATTTTACGACAGACCTCTTCTACGGGGTTGTTCCCCTAAAGAGACCATCCCTTGGGGTAGTCCGGTATTGAGTTGGTCCGCTCAAATTTTTTGTAATCCACGTAGGAGACGTTCTCACTCTTCTGACTGCAGAGGCTGGTTAAAAGCCATTATCCCACATAGTCAACAGGATTAAAGAATAAGTGAGAATGCTACGCTGAGCTACATTTCATAGTTCACCGACAGATACCAGATCGCAACATCTCCAGCTTTCACCCCACTGGAGGGAGGGTCTTTGGCGGTCCTGTCAGCAACTGGCGTAGAGTGGGATACTTTTACAATAACACGTACTTTCGCGCGTTAAAAGAGTTCGGAGTAATTCAGCTGTCCAGCCATGGATTCAGTAACGGTGCGCATTATTTTGACAAATCACTAACTGAATTCTCAATGCAAGTTTTCTGAGTTTGCTGGTAGGAAAACAGTATAAAGGTAAAACGTCATAGAGCCCCTATTTGAGTGCTTACATATTCAACTCTTCAGGTATGGTATACCGGCTAATTACTTCGTTAGCCATCCCAGTAAACGTAGTCGATTGATGGATTTTCTTATCTTAATGATGACTACTCTTTTATGGCGAAATCCCACCTACCACTGTGTGACCACATATTGAATGCTTATCACATGAGCTGTTTTGAAGCAACGTTTATCGCCGACAGGTTTGTCGAGAACCCACTATTTTCAGCTTCTTTTCTAGAAATGCCACACTTTGTTTCTTCTCTCTTAGCAGTGACAGATAAAAACATCTCATAATAAGATGCCGATTATGTGAGCACTCATATGGTCGGGAGAAACTCACGCAAAATTCTATGGTCCTTCTGAAGATCAGTTCCTTTGTTCGCCGTCCACTCGGGTCACAAACGCGATTGGGTTTCAAAAAAACGCTGAATGCATCCGTATTGTGATAGGCTAAAAGTCTGTCACATCCTGAATTACTCAGCTGACGAAGTTCACATTCGAATGGAACCTCTAGATCAGACGTATTGGAATTAAGCTTACGGTAGTCACAGGCTCACCTTTGAACTTTTGATGGACGGTCCCATCTGACAATCCAAAGTGAAAGTGCTTCTCGAACAAGAATTCCTCGTTAAACAATAGTGGAAAGAATGGCAACACGACTTTGGTTCTTTGTGTGACTCCAAACAGATCGACGGAGAGGTAGACACCTTCGCATTTTGACAGATTTGTTCCCGGTGAGCAAGCCTCTCGAATGTTAGAAAACACTAATAGCCAACTCACCCAATGTATTCGGAGTTCAACATAACACTTGTATGCTCTATCTTGCATTGAGCTAATCGTGCTTTCCAAAGACAGGCTGAAACGTGTGAAGAAAGCTTCTGTACACAGGTAGAATAATCAACGAACGTCACTTTGGCTATAGCAAAGGATTAGAGGAATCCAGTGACATAATTGTAAGACCAGTCATATCTTTCACCATTAACCCATTCCCTGTGGATGGAAGTGAAAGATTTTTGGTCATCTGACATCAACCTCGGAAACCACAGGGGAGTCCAGGTGACTAATTGGCACAAACAAATAATAAGAATAGGCGCGGTGAAATCATGGGACCACCCAATGGTGCCTTCTTTTGTCAGGAGATAATGATGGTATAACGGTTCGACTGTAGCACACTTTCGGTGCCTGGCTGCCATGCCATCCGGAGGAAGTACGAGGGCCGGGATGCTGCCAGGTTGCCTAAGACTAGACAGGGGAAGTCGAGAGGCAGTGGTCGGGTTCCAACCACAGACCTTCCGGTCAGTAAATTCGCGCCCTAACCACTTGGGCCATCTCGCCCCATCGTGATGATATGTTCCTGTGTTACCGATTCAAAGCCCTGATAAGTAGCTTTTGGGTATATATAATGGATGGATAGATAATGTTTTAACTGATGGCTCCCAGTGATGTCTCAGAGCAGCCATCAACTCAGTTTTGAGGTCACAGAGGTTCGAATATCTGTTGGTGTATACTGTGCTAGTATACCTCCATAAGATCTTAGTCGGATGGAGATCAACAACATGTGTCCTATACAGTCACAAGAAAGAACAGCGTTCAACTTTACACAAATGTTCCACCTTGCTGGCTATGGTGAGTACCATAATATCTGCATGTAGGTATTTCTATGAGTACCACTATAGACGACCTTGCCTGATAATTAGTCACGCATGGGTAATGGAACTAGAAAAACAGACAAGGCAAGTCGCCTGTGGTATAAGGTTTCCCATCTCTTTCCATTACTTGGTTGCTAATCCATCCCAGCACTAGCTGGTTTTAAATCTGTCTAGATGGACAAATGTTGCATTAGCCACAAAGAACTAACCAACGTACCCTACTGCAGTCACTCATAAAGTGACAGAGATTGTTTTGAGGGATAGGATAGTCATGAATGCAAATTCACACTGTGTTCATACCATCCAAGAACAGGGGGTTATGCTCACGAAACTTGTTTGATTAATCTTCTGTACTTCTTCAGTGAGATGACAAGCGGTTTGAATCAGAGGTTAGCAACTGGGATGTGCAGTGGACACAAACCGGGTGTTCACTAATGTCAAAGTGCTTCGGAATTTTTTCGAGCATATAGCTGACAATTGCTTGACACCACCATCTTTGTGTCAGCAATAGTACACAGGTGAATAGGGTGGAAAGTGCAGTCTAAAAGTGAATTGTATCAATACCTTCACAAATAATGAACATCAACGTGGTGTCCGTAATATATATGACTCCGTCTCTACGCCAATGGCAATCATATTGTCCTAAGTTGCTAAAACCACATTATGTCCTCATCATGACTTGTGCTTGAGGTGCAGCCAGCTTTCAGGACACTCACAAATTTAGTCCACCAGACTTCGGTTCTTTACTTGTGTCTGAATTCCAAATAATATACTTCAATTCCACGTTGGTTTACCTTCTTTTTACCAGGCCATTCGATTGCCCGAATAACGTCCATTAGTGTTTCGGAAGTGGTTGTACGTACTGGAACATAGCGTAGTGCAGAAAAATTTGGCCATTCGCTATTATTGTGCTATATTTTCTAGCGATCCCTGGTAGTTGTTTCTTGTACAAGCATATCTGATCATCGTACGCATTTTCAGTGCCGTCACATCAGATTTAACCGACTATTCTCCCTGAACTGCTCTTGTACATTTTGATAAGCGTTGGTGTAAATTGCATATGTTCATGTTATTGACGTGGCAATCTTATTCTCTTGAATTTCGGTGCATTCTCCATGCTAAAACCCTTCTGCACCGGAGACTTGGAAGGTCTGTTACCATTTGCTATCCTATAAGCAGCATAAATCCTTTTCGTAAAAAAACAGATACTTTGGATATTATCAATATGATGTACTGAACTCTTCACCCTACATGGTTTACTATCTGCAATTTCCACAGCTTTCATCTTTTCCTTGTTGTATGCACAGTTGCATTGGACTGGTCCGCGTTTTAGAGAGCATAGTAAGTTCTGTATATAGAAGACGTCTATAAGAACCTTATTCTGGTTTGTGCAGCACTGCAGTTGCTGTGATTAAAAGACGTTTCAACGGTTTTGGCTGAAACTAGTTACAGTGGACATATCAATTCCATTCCGTAGTGGCAATCGAAGTTTGCTTGTATGACTTAGTCAACTTGTCCATATGCCTTATCTGCATGGTAGATTTCAGGAGTTCCAGGAGTAGAGATAATTGCACACTGGATGGACCCTATCAGGTGTATCTTCCCAGCACCAAGTACGTCAAATCTGGAATCTCGTCGGTTAATTTTCTGCAACTGGCTTGCATCCAGATGCTGCGCGTTAGAAAGCATTTGCGATAGATGTTATGTAACCAAAGCTTTTCTTGAAAAGAACTTGTTTGGGACCAAGACACACAAGCTGGGTCAAAGGGTCGGACTGCAACCGGTAAGGTTAGATGAAAAATAAGCAAGTTCTTTGATGCACATATGAGCTTAGTGCTAGTCCAAAGTGAGAAACTGCTGTGCTTCATACATCTAAGAAGGCTGACATGCTTTCAGAATCTGCAGTCTGCTGTGGAGTTAGCCACAGGCTACGCTTGCTTGTTAACCTCTTCCTCACGCATGAAATGAGTTCTGGAAATTCTGAGGATTATGTGGACTTGCCACAAGATTTCAAAATAAATTCTATTGCATTAACAACATCATTTGTCTCATCTGACAAGGCAATTCTTTGTACTGCCCCTACTTCAGCCGTGACGTCTAACAGATTTGTTTTATTATGGTTTGCAAGGCGGGGTTAGGCGCTCTGAAGTGACTCAAGGATGTCTTCGAATCTGGTGGTCAAAACGATGTCTCGTTACAGATCCACCAAAGCATCTAGACTGAACTTTCTTCGGGTGCAGAGGGTAACGTCCTTTTGAAGTGGAAAAAAGAAGACTGCAAAACATTGTTAAAACATCTCAGTTGTTTTTGACGCCAGGTGTGGCAAACAGGATACAGCGGATCGCTTGTTAGCAATAATTAACGAAAAATCTGCCACTGTCGCCGCTTTGTCTTTACCATATTTGAGCAATGCATTGTAGACACCAGTCATTAAACGCCGTCAGTATTTAAGTGTTCTTCGTTCGGACACTCTAGGCTGTCCATCCGCGTGATAACACGTTTTGAATGGGGCGTTATACACTAGTCTTTCAGGAAAATACTGAAATTATGTCACCGTCACAGGGAAAACAGATTAGTAGGAACAAACCGTGATGATCCGAACATTTTTACTATTTGTATTGAATCGATTCACAAGATGAGAGCATTCCTCTATGAACCAGAGTCACCACTAAAGCTGAGTTCGTTAGAGGTGATCAAACAAACTCATCATTTTTACTCCTATAATCAAAACTAGGTCAGAAATGAAAAGGCAAACTAATGACATCATATAAGGTGTTCAGTGACTCAATATCAGAGCCAGAAGCGACGTGTTGTACATTCATGGAGAGTTTTACGATGGTTCGTCTGTGGGCACTTCCGAAAATTGTGCCTGTTTAAGTGCTCTTCTACTTTCGATATTATGATCTAAGAAAAAAAATAAACGGAGAGTGAAATATTGTTATTCTCTTTCTGGCCACGCCTAGAATGTTGAAGCATGAGTGAGATTCCCCGCAGTCAGTGCTAGTGCATATGCCTGAGGGTAAATTGTAACAAACATGTAGATGAGCGCTTCCACGCCTGATTTTTCATTGAAGGATCCCATCAGCTAGTTCCACCAGCACCACCCATTTGCTTGTTTGCCTGCTTCCCAAAGAGTCTGTGTCGATCAACGTTACCAAAAGTTTTCTTCTAATGGTGGTAAAATTCACCCCTCTCACGAAAGCAAACCACAGCAGCAGGACGGCAATTTCATAGGCAACTCAAGGTCTCCAAGGTCTCTCGCATTTTCGGATGTCGTACTCATGCCAAGATTTTATATGTGGAGCGGGAGTTTGTATCTGCATTGATTATGATTGTGCTGATTGAAGAAGGTGTGTGCGAGGGTACAGTTGGCCAGTTTGGTTGATGCCTAAAGTTCACCCACCATTAAGCCTGTCCTAATGTATATGTGATGAATTCAACAAGTTAGGGGGCTAACTACCGAAGTAGGAAGATACTACTGTGGCTGGTATATTTATCACACAAGGGAGCTTAATACTACTTTCCCACATGTTTCACGGTAATGACGGTTCAACTGGGGAAACCGGAGAAGTGGTTTACAAAAAAACACAGTTGTTCCTCGGTGAAATACATTTTGAAAAGGTGCAATTTTCAGTCTACATCTGAGCTAACTAGGTGCATCGCCGGAGAAGTTCTCAGCTAATAGAATTACAACTGTATGTTGTAGCATGAGAAATAATCAATCGCTGGAGCACAAAAAGAAGTCTAATGTCTCTACCTGCTCAGACAATACGAAAATTTGTATGAGGAAGTTCAGTTTATTGGTGGAAACAAAGCACAAAAAGACTTATAACCGCACACTTAGGTACGGGATGAACGTAAACACTTTCCATGTATGTTACACGAACAAAATAAACAGAGTTCAAAATGACACAAGGGCGCGAAAGAAATGACAA